GTAATTGTAGCAGTAGGAGTAGCAGTAGTAGTAGTAGTAATAGTAGTAGTAGTAGTAATAGTAAAACAAGTAATATAAAAAAAACCAGGTGTTACAAATAGTCGTCGTCGCCATAGAAGTGATAATCATAGTAATAGTGGTAGTAGTAGGAGTAGTCGTAGTACGATTAGCAGTAGTAGTAATAGTAGTGGTAGTAGTGGCAGTAGTATTGGGAGTAGTCGTAGTAGAAGCCGTGGTAATCTTAGGGCTAGTAGTCGTAGAAGCAGAAGTCGTGATAACGGTGATCGTAGCAGTAGTGGTAGTAGAACTACTCGTAGTAGTATTTGCATTCGTAGTCGTAGTCGTAGTAGTAGTAGTAGTAGTAGTAGTAGTGATAGCATCGTCAGCAAAGTAGAAGCAATACTACTAGAATGGGTAAGACATAGTCGTCGCAGGAGTCGTAGTAGCAGGAGTCAAAGCAGTAGCAGCTGATGTAGTAGAAGTTGTTGTCGTAGTAAACGTGGTACTAGTAGTAGCAGTCGTGATAACCGTAATCGTAATAGTCCTTGTAAGTGTAAAAGCAATCGCCGTAACAATGGTGGGAATAATATACATATTCGGAACAGTAGCGAAACAAGTAGTAGGAGGCATAATCGTAGCCGTGGTGATCGCAATAGTAAACGTCGCAGTGGACATAATAATACTAGGCGCAGAAATCACAATTGCATTCGTAGTAGTATTAATCGTGGTGATCGTAGTAGAACGTAGTACTAGAGATCATGGGTGGTACTGGTCGTAGTACTCGCAATGGTGGTACTAATTGTAGTAGATGTAATCATGGTCGTAATCATATAAAAATCGAAATAATAATCGTCGTAGTAGTAGTAGCAGTAGTAATAGTAGGGCTAGCAAGAGTAGTAGCGATCGTAGCAGTAGTAGTAGTACGAGTAGCACTAACAATAACAGTAGTAGATGCCGTACATGAAAATAGCTGTAGTAGTACTGGTAGTCGTAGAAATAGTACTCGCAAAAGTCATGGTAAGAATAGTACGCCGTAGTCGCCAGAAGTAGAAGCAAGAGTAATAGTCGTACGCGTAGCAGTAATCAGAATAGTAGTAGTGGTAATCGTGGTAGTAGGAAAATCAATAGATGTAAGTAGTAGCCATAATGGTCGTAACCGTAGTAATGGTAATGTGAATAGAAAAAATGCGAGTCGTAGTAGTACAAGTAAGTGGCGGTAGTACTAGGAGCAGTAGTAGTAGTAGTGATAGTAGTAACCACACATGAGTAGGAGTAGGAGCACGGGTAGTAGTAGTAGTCGTCGTAGTAGTCGAAGTAGTAGCAGTAGTAATAATAGTAGTAGGGGGAGTAGGCGTCGTAGTAGTAGCAGCAATAGCAGTTGTAGTCGTCGTGGACGTAATAGTAGTAGTAGTAGTAGTAGTAGTAGTAGCACTAGTAGCAGTCGTAGCAGTCGTAGTAGTAGTAGTAGTAGTGGTAGTAGTAGTAGTAGTAGTAGTAGTAGTAGTAGTAGTAGTAGTAATAGTAGTAGTAGTAGTAGTCGTAGTAGTAGTAGTAGCAGTAGTAGTTGTAGTAGTAGTGCTATAATCTGTGGTAATTGAGATTGAAGTAGTAATCGTCGTCGTCGTCGTAGTCGCAATCAGAGCCCCACAGGAAGGGGGGAGGGAAGGGCGGCATTTCTAAACCGTTTGCGGACATTGTCGACGTGATTACGGATCGTGTGTTACTCGTGGTGTATGACCATACGTGTGCATGTGCACGCTTATACGTGTGTTCTAAAAGTACATGCTTGCATATGGATGCATATGTTCATATTTGTGTGTATTTATAGTATGCGAGGGTATATACACACATGGCTGTGTGCGGCTGCGAACTTACACGTGTGTGCATGCGCATGCGCGTATGATTGCATACGTCTCTGAATGTATGCGTGAATGTATGTGCACGTGCACGCATGCCTGGATGTACGGCGTACTCTTCTGCTCCTGCACGGCTTGCTCCGACCCGTCCCGACTCCAGGGATAACACGGTTCGAGCTCGAACGCACGTTTCAACACTAGCTGGGCACATCGCCGCCCGCGTCAGAGGAAGTGACAACATGTGGCTCGTCCAAGACGTCGGCAGAAGAACACGTGTCTGGGTCTACGTATACACGCATGCACATGCATTCGCGTGTACGTGCAAGCCTACACATGTACAATACATACATATGTGAATATTGGCAGGTTCACGTGTACGAATGTGTCGATATGTATGCCTGTCAACCCCCCGCCCGCCGCTTGGCAGGGGTGAGAATGCATGCGAAATGATTGGCTGTCCTCCTTCCCTGTCCCCCCTGCTCGCAGATCGCGGCGGTTGGGGAGACTTCCGGAGCTCCTCAAGGCCATCAAGAGGCTCTCCATTTTACTGTCCAGGCTCTGAGCATCCTCAAGTCGGTTCCAGGTGATCCCCAGACCACCCAAGATGAGTTTGAGATTGACCCCCCCCCCAAACGCAAATTCGTTCAACATCAAGTTGTGTATGGGCGCTCCCGAGTGTTAGGCTCCAGACTGCTCCACGATGGGCTTACCCGAGGGCTCCGAGAGTCTACGAAGCCCCCATTAGGCCATCAAGCGCCCGCGAGGACCGCAAGTTAGCCCCGATTCCGCAAACAAATGGCCCCAGATACCCGCCGCTGGTCTTCAAAGCTGACCACAACTGCCTTCAAAACTGTTCAAGCTCGCTCCAACAACGCCTGTGTACATCCCAAAGAGCCCGGAGGCTCGTCAATGCATCCCCGCAATCTCCCAGAGGTCGGCACAAGCCCCACAATTCCCCCCCCCCAGACTTGCACATGCATTGCACGTCTGCGTAGGGAGGGGGGGGCCTCAATGAACAAAATGGCCTCGGGAGCCCCTCGTTGCAGGCCCTCCTTGCACAGAAGAAGACAAGACCGCTTAAACAAACTGTCTCTCTCTTGGGCAAGGGGCATGGGCCTTCGAAATGCCGCGACCAGCATCAACCACCATAGCATCATTAGTAGCAGACGTGATGGTAAACACTGGCGTATAATCAAGCTCGCAGCGGCGATTGCAATGCCACTAAGACATAATAATAACGAAATGAGACGAACCAGAAGAAGAATGGGAATATGAGGGGATTAGCCTGTGGACTCTCGCCACCCTGCCCCCAACGCGTGAGGAAAAGAGGCCGTTAACCGTGCCTCCTGTCTCCATTGCCACTTCGGCCGCTTCAATCGGCGAATCCGCTCTAAAACTTTGAAACGGCGACGAATCGCAAAGTCGACGTGTTCGCCTTTCGGCCCCAGGACACTCAGAAATGCCTCGCAAACTCAGGTTGCGTGAAAGACTCGGCATGCCTCCGACAAGGCCCCTAGATGCACCCAAAGAGCCTCGACCTGCCGCCCATGCGCCCCAAGAAGCCCCACCAAAAACCACCACAAGGCCGCAAGACCCGCGAACAACCAACACACATGTCCGTGACTTGTTGTCAAGGTTCTACTTGTCCTGCAACGAACCAGCCTGAATTGTCGGAGATGTGTCTTGCTCCCAACGGCGCGGTCCCCGATTCACTTCCCTGCGATAGTGTCCTACCCGACAGGGTCACAACCATCAAGGATTAATCCCGATGGTACCAGATTGTATGATATACGATTGCAGCGAACGGGGGGCGCACCAACACCAACAGCAGAGTAGTAACAGCTAGATGGCATCACACTGTATTCGGCGTCAAGTTAGTGCACAGCCACATCTGGCGATACAATGTACATATATAAATATAGATGTATGTGTTTACCTAGCTCGCCCATTACGTACACACATGCGTTTTGCGTAGATATGCGAATAATACATCGTGCCATACGATCTTGACGACCATTGAAGCTTGTAAGGATGACGTGATGTGCTACGCAATACGCGAATGGGTTCAACATGGTTGCCATATCGCATGTCGGTGATACCGAATGAGATATTAAACATTACTAGATACACACTATGTGCATTGTGCATAGTCCGCTCGATGGCAACACATATTGAAGCTGCCTGGGTTAGAACACCAATTACCTCGCACACCACAATATTCACATAGCCGTGTTACACGACTGGCATGTTGGGGAACCACGTACAAGTAACATGTATATGCATATCTGCGCGCGTAATCATATATGCATCTACGCGCGGCCACCACAAGCACGCCTGATCAACCGCATCGTGACGGAATGCGGCATGTAACTGAAGAGGTAGTCACCAAGTGGTTTCCAACACGCCTCTGAGCGTCGGGGGTTTGCAGAATCAGCCCTTCCGAACACAAAGTATCCACCTTTGGGAGAGGATCAATGACTCCTCGGTCTCGGATTCGAACTCGGCTCCGCGCGCGTGGCGCCACGAAGGTAAAGCGGAGGGGGCGCCGAAGCGCCAGCATGAAATACATTGACGAACAGAAACGCGCGCAGGTGAACATCATGAATGGGAAGCAGGAGGAGGAGGAGGAGGACGAGGAGGAGGAGGAGAAGAAAGAGGAGGAGAAGGGAAGGAGGGACGGGCGGCAACACGCCGTTCTTAACGTAAAAGCGCCCTCTTCCCACTCGACCAGCCGGCCCAAAAAAATGAAGACCTCCCCAAACCACATGTCAAAAAGAAAATACACCGCGCACGCGGCAACGAACATCTAGACTCTGAGCGGGCAGCCAGCGAGGTGACCTGAATGGGGGATGAAGAGAAGGGCCCTAAAGGGACCTTTTAGGGCCCCGTTTGGAGCCAGCAGGGGCCCAAGAGGGGCCCTGAAGGGCCCCGTAGGGCCTTTCTCTTCACCCTCCATTTAGATCACCCCCCATTGCCACCCGCCTGAGAGGATACACCGAGAATCTCTGAGATCCGGCGGCTCTGGAGAATGTATCGGTTGCCGCAGCCTTCTCAGAGCGTTCCGAAATGCTCTAGCGTTCCGAAGCGCTCTGAGAGCGTTCCGGAAAGATCTGGAGCGGATCTATCCTCGTCTTGGCCCCGTTCAGTAGGTCGGGGTGGGGCATAGCTGTCTGGCGCGCGCTGGCCCAATCCCCTATCAAACATGAATGCAGGCTGACTGCTGGGGCGCAGGCCGTACGTCATACTGACCACCCCGCCGCAAGCAGTTAGCCTCCAGCTTTTGTGGAAGATGTTTGGGGGGGCGATAACTGTTTGTTGTGTGCTGCTGTCACGTGCACTGGCGCACCCGGCACACCCCGCGCAGGTCGTGAACCTGGCGCGGCTGGAGCATGCAGCACAGTCGGCGCATGTTGGGAATGCGGTCCATCTGGCGCACCTCGCGCGTGCCTGGGCCCCTGGGGCTACTGGTGCACCCGGCGCGCGTGGCGCAAGTGGCACGCGGGGCGCGCCTGACACGCGCACAGCGCCTCGCGAGCATCGCAAACATGACGTTTGCAATGGTTCGTAGTCAGAGACGACTAGGGGGCTACAATGCAAGTAACCCCGTGGGTGGCATACTACGGCAACAAAACTCCCAGGGTTGCCCCGAAACCGTCCTGAGAGGTGTTCGCGTGTTTTACAAAACGACGGGGGACATGAAAATGATACGGCGGCCTTATCCCCCCGCCTGCTTGTACCACTGCATGCTCCCACTATTCCACGGCATTATATTATAGATGGGCTATGCTATACACAAGACGCACATGATGTAAGTTTGAATGCCCAGCAATAAAAAACGCACATCATCAATTGCCCACAAAGCTCAGTCACCGGCGTAGGGTCGTCAACCAAAAAAGGAGCACCAACAAAAACATCAATGCAGGCGGCGATTGTCAGAACGGCCAGAGGCAAGCACCCACAACGATGACGCTTGTCCAGGTGCAAAGGAACATATAGTCATTCAGCCAATAACTCCACGGATGCGATTGCAGCTACAGGTGAAACGGCCACTGCTCACCGATTTGAGAGCATCCACCAATGCGACAAGTGAAAACCACAGCGGCAACATCAAGAGCGACAGCGGCAGCATCAAACGCCAACACTATCGTCGTCGCCATCAAGCTTTTCCCTCCGCCCATCCCTCCTCGCTTCGCCTCTCCCCCCCTGGCCCCGCAACGCCTCCCATGCCCATGCCCATGCCGCAGCCGCCCATGCCCATGCCCATGCCGCAGCCGCCCATGCCGCAGCCGCCCATGCCACAGCCGCCCATGCCACAGCCACCCATGCCACAGCCACCCATGCCCATGCCGCAGCCGCCCATGCCTCGGCAGCCGGGGGGGGGGGACATCGTGTCCTCGCAGGCGTCCAGACTCTGAGAGAAAAGCCCACATCGTCGCACCTCCCGTTCGGGGTGCTGTTGCCCCTGCCGCAACCGCTGCTGATCCTGCTGCTCGCTGCTCGCCACCGTCGGGGTCGCCTGCTGCTGCTGCTGCTGCTGCTGCTGCTCCTCCTCCTCTTCCTCCTCCTCTTCCTCCTCCTCCTCCTCCTCCTCCCGCTGCTGTGTTGCACGCGGCTGCTGTGATGTACATAAGCGGTGTGGTGTACACAGGGGCTGTGGTGCACGCAGGCACTGTGGTGTACACAGGGGCTGTGGTGCAGATCGCCACCTATATGCTGCTGCTGCCCGTCCTCGGTCATGCCTAGGCATTTCCAAATGCCGCTGGCGCGACACGTGACGTCATCGCCCCCCCCCAGATGACGGCCGTCATCGGCCATGAAAACTAAAAACAGGCTCCAGAGTAGTCCAATCTCTAATGATGGCCCCGCTCAGGGATGCACTGGCCCGGACCACTGCAAACCCGTGTCAGCGCCAGGCTTTGCAGAATCCTGCAGGATCCCGCGCGCTAGCCCGGGTCAATGCGCTCCTGGCTTTGCAGGATCCTGCACGATCTGGCTCTCTGGCTGACCTCCCCTTGCATTACTTGACCCTGGTCTCAAGCTCCCGCCTACCCGTCGGTCGGAAGAAGTGGGTAGAAGCATGATGTAGGAAAGCATTGGAAATAGATTGGGTCTCCGCCCGACTCCTGAAGAGGAGGGGCGAGGGAAAACCCTTCAACCCTTGAAGCAGGAAGACGCCTAGGGCGTAGAGTAGATTGGGATCTGGATTTTCGAAAACACCTGCTTTCAGCGACTGGCGCGTAATAATCGGATCGGGGGCGCGCAAGCATGGATTCGCGATCCATGGATTTGGCGCGCGGTCGCCGAATCGATGGATCGGGGGAGGTGCCCTCCCCGAAATGCGGCCGGTGCCGCCTCGCTCGGAAGCGGAAATCCGCGATTTCCCACGGAAACGGGACCCGTCGCTAATCCACGCCCCCTTGATCCATGGTTGCGATCGCCTGAAATGATGGCCCCGCCCCCCCCCCAGGCGCGACTACGATGACGACTACGACTGCGACGATGACGACTAGGATGACTCCGACGACGACGACAACGACGACAACGACGACCAAGACGACTAATCCTCCGCCCCCCAGGCCGCCCGCCCGCGGCGGCGGCACGTCCTGGGCCCAGCATGCCGCCTGCAAGGCCAGGGCGGGGACACCAGAGGGCGAGGCGCTGCTGCCCAATCCTGCCCTCCGCTCGTCCTCCTTCCCTTTCTCCGCTCCTCCCCCTCGCCCCTTCCGCCTCCTGCCGATCATCCTGCGCATCATCGCCACCATCCTCTGCCTCTTCCCTCTTCCTCTCCATCCACCGGCTGAACTTCCTCCTCCTCGTCCTCCCACGCCTCTCTTTATTTTGGCAGCAGCGTCCGTGACACAGGATGAAAGTGCAGATCCACACCAGTGCTGCGGCACCACTGGGTGACTGAATGGAAATAGTCCTCGTCCTTCTTCGCACTATCGCCTGCATCCTGCCTGCGGCATCTCCCGCCGCCCTCCACTGCCGCAAGAACCTCAACACTCTGCTGCCTGGCGGCGGACAAAAAAAGATCCTCATATTCGACGCCCCCCTCCTTCTGCGCGTCGTGGCCCTCCGCTACGGCCTCTCCCTGGGCGTCCTCCATCTGTTTTCCGAATTCGGCATCAATTTCAATGTGCACGACCTCGTACACTCCTCCTCAACCTCACCCTCTGGGGACGCCTGCGTCTGACAGCCTGAACTGCCTTGGCTCATTCACTGCGACTGCCAAGCGGTCGTGGACGGGGCCCTGCGTGGTGAGGAAGGGTGCTGCAGACCCGCGAAGGCTCGCAATGATCTCCGGCACGCAGAATGCTGCCGTGTTCAAAACCTCTGGAGGCTGGGGGTCGGGCGGGGTGCGCATCCGGAGGCTTCAGGCTCACGACACTCGTGCGCGAAGGCGCAAGTTCGGTGAACGGAGACGAGATTGACGCCATGATGCGATTGTCTCAAGATGCGTTCCAGAACATCTGGTGTCTCTAGCTGTCCTCGTTTCTGGAGCCCGTGCGGAGCAGTGAAACAGTCTTGAAAGAGGGAGGTCTTCTCAACATTGCTGGAACGTCTCACTCTCACACGACTTCTTGCCCATTTGACAATCGTCTGTTCCTGAGCAACAAATTAGCCGACCAAACCGCCAGCCAAGTCGCGAAACCAAATGACAACCCGCACTGGCAGCAACAATCGAGATGTCCCGCCAGGATCGCATTCTGATAACACGGCTGCTGGAGCATCATTAGGCGTTTCGGCTCTGTGTAAATGGACAGGCCGCCTGCTTTATTTTTCACACCGCAAACGCCCAACACCTTCCACAACTCTGGTGTTGCATTGAATCCGCGTCCCCTCAAGGGGGCTTCGACGGCACCCAACGTGAAGCTCAGAAGCGCGACGACACGCAACGAACATGCAACGAACATCGGCCCGCTAATGTGAGCGAACAGGCCGCCTGCTGAAGAAACCCTATACTTGGGCCCGCCCGCGCTCGTGCAAGGGGCGACGGACGTGATGCAAAGGGTCGAGCTGGCCCCCGCTGACCCCACTGGTCGTGCGACCTCTCGGCCGCACGATCGCCCACGCGGTATGGCTCCTCGCCGACAATTGCAGAATCGGCGCCAACCTGACCCTCGGGAGGTCCGCGAGGATTTCTTGGATCGGCGCCGGGCCCTCTCCTTAGCGCGAAGCGCGCCAAGGGCGGCGCGCAAGAGGGCCCTGGCGCAGATCCAGGAATCCCCCCCCGGAGCTCCGAAAATGTGTGTTGACAAATTCTGTACTCGAGTGCACGAGCTGGGGGCATTTTTATGTTTTGTTCATGCGTTTTCTTGACTCGCGTAAGACGACGAATAAGAAAATAATGTGGGGGGAACGAATCTTGGGGTTCCGCTTCGCTTCGACTCCGTTTGGCCCGTCGCCTGTCCAAACGCGCGCCTGAGGAGGGCGGGGGGGAACGATGAAACAAGTTGTTTCCTGGCCGGGTTTCTGTTTTTCTAATCATCATCCCGGGCACCGCCGCGTGAACACGACCCGGGTAATACCTCAACAATCACACATCATCATGCATGATTTTTTCGTTCATGCGCTGCTTGTTTTGTTCATACTTTTTGTGGCCTGGGGGCTCCAGCTGCGGTGCACAGGCGAGGGGCGCCCCCCACCCGACAAGGTACTTCTCAGCGGGCGCAGCGAATCCCGTATTGAATAGTTGCCTGGGGATGGAGAGCCCTAGGAGGCGAGGTACGGGAAAATGGCTCCTCCCGCGAGCCCCAAAGTAACAAGTGCCTTGTTTAGAGAAACAAGAGATTGCACAGACATAAACTGTTGGAGGTCCGCGAAGGGGTCCTTGGATCTGCGCTGAACCCCCCTCCCGGGTGGGCGGAGAGCGCCACGGGCGGCACCGCAGGCGCCACCGAAGGGGGTCCAGCGCCGATCCGAGAGAGCCGCACGGAGCTTTAAGCTTCATGTTGCTCCCATCGTACTTGAGGACCACATCCCAGAAATACTTTCCAGCACCCAGAACAGTGTCGATAGAGTGTCGAACGAGTGTTGCCTCCCAGGGCCCGACACGTGAAAACCCTCAAATTTCCGTAATTTCTTGGTGCTCGATTTTTCCTCGTGACCAAGGCTGAAGTACGCTGGAGCATCAGAAACGGAGCTCGGACAATTTACGTGTTCTGTTCTCCGATCGGAGTAGCGTTGACAGAGTGCCTTGCCCCTGCACGGCCGGCGGGACGGCACAAGCGTCGTGAACGCAAAGTGCCTTGCCCTGCACGGCAGCCGCTCCTCGTCGCCGCACGGTGTGGGCAGCCCCACCGGAGGCACCCGAAGGAGCCCGAGCCCGGCGCCACGCGCGGAGGGCCGGAAGAGCGCCCCCACGCCAGGACGGCGCGCCAAGGTCTAGGGCCCCACGCGTGCTGGACTAGGAGGCCACATGCGAACCTTACCACTACCCCCCATGATTTCTGAGGGGGAGGGTGGGGTTCACTTCGTTTGGGAGCTCACGAACGAAGTGAACCCCACCCTCCCCCTCAGACCTTTCGTAAACCTCCCCTTCGTGAAAACGGCCTGGGACCGAAACCGACGGACATGGACCCGCAAAAATGACGGCCGCGACGCCCTCTCGCGAACCGGATGCGGCCGATTCCTTGATCGACGTGTCAGGTTAGGTCTATCCACCCCCGAGGTCCGAGACACCTCTATCAGGGGATAGGTCGACCCCTACCCCAGGCTTTGGGGGGTTTTCGACTGGACCACAAACCTGGGCCCCAACCTTGGGATACACGAGGAGGGGGGGCGTCCATCCTCGATGGGGGTGCGTCCGAGTGCATCCCAGGGTTTCCTGCTTTTCCTAAAAACGGACAGCCAATTTGTTCGTCGAAAAGTCGGGGGTTGAGAGAGAACAGTCGCCTGAGAAAATCGACTACACGCAAGAGTGGCCCTGGGCAAGAGTGACCTCTGGTGTGCGGCTCTCGGGGGGGCGCGGGCGCGGGCGCGCCAACAGAAGCCGCTGCTTTCGCACAACATTCGACCATCCGGGGACTCCAATGGGCCCGCTCTAAAAGGTCACCCTGGCAAAGGGTCACTCTTACGTGTAGTCGAGTACAATTGGAGCTCGTGCTTTTTGATAATTCTCGCGATGGCGGCCGTTTCCAGCCCCCACCCCCACCCCCAGGATAACGTCACGATCCGTGCAGACCTCCGAGTTGGCGGCTTTGGTTATGTTCCTGGGCATTCCCAGACGGCGCCGGCGAAAAACGTCAGGTTACCGCCCCCCCCCCCTCCCCCCGCCCACCCCCAAAAACACCAGTTATCGCCTGGGAATAAAGAGCGCTCTCTAGGCACATACGGTGGGAAATCTTGCGATAAGAAACGGAGTTCAAATCCTTTGTCGACCCCAAGTTTCGCGATGCTCCCGGGAAACATCTTATTTGGTGTGCCTGCAGTACCCCCTCCTGGTCTCCCATCTCTGGGCCACCTACAGTCATCGTGCTACCATCAGGAGCGCAGAATAAGGGACGGAGGGTCTTTTCTAGCCACGGCGGGCCTAGGCCACAGACAGCATCCACGACAGAAATCTAAAGGGAATCGCCCGAACACTCGAGGCTGTCCCGAGCCCAAAGCGCCTCCCGCACCGCGACGCGCAGTCGTTCGTCGCGCCCTCGCGCGGCCACCCTGGAGATGGGCAGCGTGCTGACCTCAGCCGCAGAGCGTGCAGCGCGACATGTTCGAGGGGATCCCGGGGAGCCGTCCACAAGCAGCCGGGCCCCGTCAGCCGAGTTTCGCCCGAGGCTCTTCGCGATGACCGCTGGTCTGACACCATGCGGCCCCTCCTTCTCCCCCCTCCCTCCTCCACCTCTTCAGCCGCCGTCCCGGATCGAGGCTTTGGGTGCAGCGCCCAGGTACCCTGTACCTCAGCCCTGCGAACCTCTCCTCGGGACTGCTGCCACACGTGCCTGCCCGCCGCGCCATCGTGCAGCAGGGCAGCCGTGATTCAGTCGTCTGCCACGGAGACAGGCAGACGAAGGCGGGTGGACCCCGCGTGGCACAGACGACAGCGCCAGGCTCGCAGCAGAGCTAGAGTGCTAGTTCAAGTTGCCGCAGCAGCAGAATTGTTACGACAACACCATTCGAGTCCAATTAGTGCTAGACAGGGATCACGACAATTTCAGGACAAAGGGGGAGGCACAAAGTCGGTACCATGGCAGCGCAAGCAACAGAGTTTCAAGAAATTGTGGGAATGTCCAGCACGCGCATGTGCCAACCCCTGGGATTCGTACACATGTAAAAGGTGTTTCCCATCCATGTCTCAGCAGTCGAGTGAGCGACCATGGCGCACGAGATCAGCATCGCGTGCCCCGAGAAGACGAGCCGCCTCAACTCAGCCGACACATGGTGATGCAGCAAAATCCACGGCAGGAGATCAGCCAGAGCCCCATGACGATCTCATACCTTTGTTACCAGCCACGCCTGAGATTGCCACCAGTCACAAAAGATGGAGAGATCCGCCAGAGGATCCTAAATTGCTGGGAGAATATCGCAGAGCTATAACATCCACCATGGAATCGTTGGAGAGACAGATTCGATGTGCAGATGCTCTCACATTAGATGCCCAGCAAATTTCGGCTCTGCAAGA